TTGTTCAGATGCTTCTTAGAGTGCTTGCCATGTTCCACACAAGCTCATGGCTACTTATGCACATCGTGGTCCTCTCCACCACACTGGGATTTCCCCAGGAAATGCATTTCTCTTCCCAGCCTCAGCAGGTCGTGTGGGGGCCTCATACCTGCAGTTACTCTGTGACATGTTTATTGATGGATAAATGAAAAAGAATTTTATTCATTTTGTTGAGTTTATTAACCAGGATCCTACACCTGAAAGCGGCTGTTGTAAACTAAATGACTACTTATTGGCAACAGCACCAAAAACACCAATACATTTAATGTAAGCTGCTGTGCATTCATGGCCCACACCTTCTGTTCTTAATGAAAGTTTTAATAAAAGCACAACACAGCTATTTATTTACCTATTTATTTGTTTATGTTTTCTTCATTTTCTTTAATTTCTGGTAATTTCTAATATGTAGGGTTTTATCTCCTTGGTTAAATTTATTACTAGGTATTTTATTCTTTTTGATGTAATTGTAAATGGGATTGTTTAATTTTTCTGTTAATTATTTGTATATAGAAGCACAACAGATTTTTGTGTACTTATTTTACATCCTGCAACTTTACTGAATTTGTTTATTAGTTCTAAGCTTTCTGATGCAGTCTTCAGGACTTTCGACATTTAATATCCTGTCATCTGAGCATAGTGTGGATCCCACTGTTAGTGGGAATGTAAACTGGTACAGCCACTGGAAAACAGTATGGAGGTTCCTCAAAAAAGTAAAAATAGAACTACCATATGATCCAGCAATTCTACTTCTGGGTATTTATCCAAAGGAAATAAAAACTAATTGGAAAAGATATCTGCACCCCAATGTTCATTGCAACATTATTTACAATAGCCAAGACATGGAAAAAACCTGAGTGTCCATTGATAGATGCATGGATAACAAAAAAGAAATAATAAAGGATATTATTCAGCCACAAAAAGGAATAACATCTTGCCATTTGCAACAATATGGATGGACTTTGAGTAAATAAGTCAGACAGAAAGACAAATGCTGTATGATCTCTCTTATATGCAGAAACTAAAAAAATGTATATATTAAAAGAAACAAGCTCATAGATGCAGATAATAGATTCCCAGAGGCAGGGGGCGGGAAATAGGAGAAATGGGTGAATTATTATTATTATTATTATTACTATTATTTTAGTTTAAATAAATTCACTAATAAGAATGGATCACAGAGGGGAGATAAAATATACTTAAATTGCTTCCCAAGAAACTCAAATGCAGACACCTCCGTTTGCTCATGTTGACATACCTATTAGGAGCGATTCCTAACCATCACCAAGAACTGGAGGATGTGTGATTTTAGAAAGGAGAACAAAAGTACATGATCTACTTCTGATCCAAAGTTTCTAGGAGATAGTGCATATTCTTTTTTTCCTTCAGAGAAGTGTCTTCACTTCACTCAGTATCTTCAAAACAACAGAAAATCAAATGGTAATAGCTTTGGGTTGGTGGGCTTGTCCTGGGGGCCTGCCGAGATGGTAACTTTTGTTTTTCTTTCCTGGATCTTGGTTCAGGGCTGTTGGTTTGTAAGAATCCTGTGGTTAAGCCTCTTTGGGTAAAAGTCTTGTTTGAAAGTCTCGCTTGATAGGTTTCACCGATGGCTGTTGAATAGCTTTGGAAGCAAAAGGAGACCAGCTCCTCTAGGGCTTCAGAGAGGCCACCTTATTTGTTATCACAATGTTTCTCCTGAGCACCTGCTGCAGGGGGAGGTTGTGGCCGTTGGATCTACTCTGAACCATGGAGTTCCTTGCTATGTGTCTTGTCTTCCTGTCTTATATTCCTCCCATCATAGGGAATAAAGATTCTCTTGCTTCCCTAAGGTTTTAAGCATCACGTGAAGTGACTGGTTGCTCTCCTGTTACCAGGTGTGCCCCAATTCTGGGGATGTGGAGCCTGGCTGGCAGACGGTTACATCATGGGTCTGATTCACAATGATCTTATGTCCCAGAGATCCAGTTTTGGACATTCTAGTCCACTGTCAGACCCTAGGCTTGATTTTAGATTTTTGAAAAGAATCCTCAAGAACATTTATCTGTGTGTGCGAAGAAAATGGCTCTCCTGAAGCCATAGGCAAGAGGGCCCTAGAGCGGAGAGTTGGAATCTGTTCCTTGGGCTTTGCCAGTAGAGGAATTTCCAAGCCAGGGGAGAGAGGTAGCAGACTAGGAGAGGGCTGGGTAAGAAGCCTGTGCCACCCCGTGGCCACTTCACAGCCCACCAAACTTCTTTAGACTGGTTTGCTTTGTGCAGAGGTTGTGCCTCTACCTGGGATGCCTTTACCCCTTTTCTCAGCCCAGGATCCTACTTCTCCTTTAAGACCCTGCACAGGTCACTTTTGCCTTACTGATGGATTCCCATGGCCACCATTTTGTTTTTCCCTCTGTATGTTCCAAAGTGTTTCCATCCACCATTTCTCACAGGGCAAAAAATTACTTATGAACATTTTTTTCTCCTTAAGTGGACTGTGAGTTTTTGTGCTCAACACCATGTTTTAGGCTTCTTTGTATCTGCTCCAGAGCCTAACAATGGACACAGGGGCTAGATGCCATTCACTATCAGTTAAATGAATGGAGTCTGGCCTTCTGGGTCTATAGTTATTATTATAAGTGCAGAAACCATCTGTCTGGAACTTGCTTATTAGATTATTGGGCTATGTATGGTTTTATGCATAGGTGTTTATATTCTCCTGTGGAATTTAGAAAATTCTTTTTAAAATTACCAGACGTGTTTTAATAGTGTTGTAATAGGCCCTCCTCCCCCCAAAGAGGGGACTCCCCTTGCTCTATTCCCACACAGGGGAGGGGCATACTTTCAGGGGCCAGCATGGGGGTGGCATCTGGAATTAAGATGAGCAAACCCCAGGAAGACAGAGATAAGGCGTGCTCTTTTTTCATATCACAATCTTAGTGTTTATAAGATTTATGTATTTGCACTGAAAGCTGTCCCTTTACAGTGGGTGTTTCAAACAGCAGAAGAGGCAATGTAGGCAAGGGGTGCCTTACCACGGGTCTGTTAGTGTCCTCATGAGCTCGTTTTGTTTCAGTTAACTTTCCACTTGTTTTTGGGAGAGGGAAATCCCAGGAAGTCCATTTATCATATGACTAGAGTAAGTGAAAGGTAATCCTTTTTAAAATGTGAGTTATGGAGCTATGTAATGTGCCATTTATCTATGTCTACTGTGGAAGGGAAGAACGCCGGGGCAGATTTGAACAGAGTGTGCTCCCTGTTGTCTTTAGGGCTCTATTCCCCACACCTTGTTCCAGCACACAAAACACTCTCACCTGGTGCATTGTGATGAGCACATTGATTGAGCCCTTAAGAGTTGCCTCTTACCAAACACGGAGTAGGTATTTGAATACATACCTGGTAAATAAGCTGCTTAATTGTTAGGCTTCTGTTCTATTTAAACACATCTTGGTTTAATACTCAATATCAGCTATATGTGGCGGGATGTTTTCTTGGAAGAAAGCTAAACAGCTTTGGAAATTGGAAACCTTTTAGAACTTTTAACCAGGCAGGTGGGTTTTAGAAGATAAAAGGGATCAAGGCAGTCAACCATAAATTTGAAAAGCGTCACTAAAAAAATGAAAAGAAGGATTCTTAGAGTTCTTTTCTCTTCTTGTAAAAATAGTATTGACACAAACCTGGGCTGAATAACAAGATGGCACTATTTGCATTCACACAAAGTGGATAACACACTAGGCATTCAGTTTCTGGTTTTAAGAAGTCAATACAAACCAGAGAGAAAACCCACAGTCTCCAGACTTCCTTTCTAAAACACTTGCAGCAGATGTTGCATGGACAAATAACAATATTATCCTAATATATTCAAGGTTAAGCCCCTTAATGGTCTTCACTTTTATAAGGCTCAATGCAACACACATTTATTCAGCACCTGCTTTGCTATCATCCTAACCTCTCACTTGTATTCCTACCACCTAATGCGGGTCTTCACTTGTTTAGCAAGTGGGTGAATGCTGCACATCCCTGTGGAAGATACTGGCATTGGTGGTGTGCTTAACCCAACTGCAGGCACAGAGAAGCATCCAAAAGATACAATGAGGTATGAATGAAAACATGGACACAGGCCATGGTCTAAGCTCAGGTAAGTGATAGGCACTTGGTCCCTATACTTTCTAGGAGAATGAGTCAAGGGTTGGGGGAGGCACAAAGCAGTGAAGAACCACTAGAGGCGGGGGGGGGGGGGCGGGGGGGGCGTCATAGTTCTTTGTTACTGCTTTCCTCCTCTGCCTGCCACACAACGCGAGGGGGCCAGCCCTCTGCCGGGGCCCCCACATCTCTTGGCTGGGGAGGTGCCCCTTAACAGTCCCATGGGGACAAGAGGGACTCTACATATGAGGCTTCCACACGTCGCTCCACTTCTCTGTATACCAATTTAATTAATTTTTATCAGGCGTTTTGAATAAAATTACACCCTCCCTCTTCCATTATGGTGAACACTTAAAATTACATTTGTACGAAATTACATTTACACAAACTTCTATTGAAAGCCAAATTCCAGGCCTAAGCTCTTGGCCAAACCCCATTAAAGGAGGAGAATATTAAGTAAATTAGGTGAGCTGATTAAAAACACCTTCATCAAAGTAGAACTCTGGTGCCAACAATATTAAGAGTTGAATTATTGATTTTTTTAAATAGCAAATGGTACATTAGCAGGGAGGAAAAAGTCATTCTCCTTTCCTTCCTGTCCCTCCCTTCCCCCGTCCCTCACTTTGGGAATAAGAAGAGGGACTACTGACCTACTCCGGGTCATCCCGGACAGGAAGGTGACGGAGTAAGGCGGGGGAGGACGTGAAGGTAGAAGATGGGGCCCAGGTAAGGGAGAAGAAGGGGAAAAAAGGAGTAGAGACTGACGGCCAGAGGGAGCAGAGGCCAGGGTCGCTGTCATCGCGGAGGAGCAGCCCCCTCTACCCACACCGCCTGGCGGGACCCCGGGCACAACCGCCGGCCAGGCGGGCGCTGGAAACCGCACGAGGACGCTCCCGAAGCCGGCCGCCAGAGGGCGCGACAAGAGCCGGCGCGGCGGAGCCGGAGGAGGGAGGAGGGGAGCCGGCGGAGAAGGGTCAGCCGCGGCGGCAGGGGCGGCAGCGGTAGCGGCGCAGCTCCGCTCCCCGCGCGCCTCCCGTCCCCGCGCTCCAGCCGGGCGCACGGTCCCCGCCGCCGGGATGTTGTCGTCCGCCGGCCGCGGCCGCCGCCGCCTCGCACTCCCAGCGCTGCTCTCGCTCCTCACCTGCTCCCTGGGTAAGTAGCGGGCGGCCCGGGGCGCGCACGGGAGAGGCGTGGGCTTCCCGGGCGCTGCCGCCCGCACCCCGCGTCCGTGCGCGGGAGGAGGTGGCGGGCGGCCCAACCCTGCCCCGCAGGCGCCCGCGTCCCGCCGTCCCGTCCCCGCCGCGCCGGCGGCAGCGCCCTCTCGCGGCGTCGGGGCGGGGACCGGGCTCTCCGGGACCCCGGGGCTCGCCGCGTCCGGCCCCTTTCGGCTCGCTGGGTCCCGCCGCCGTCCCGGCCCCACTCGCGTCTGCCCGCCTCCTTCCGCCGGGAGCTGGCGGCCGGCCCAGCCGGGAGGGCGAGGCGCTCACCCCCACAGGAAGCGCTGAGTAAATGTGCAACTGCGAGAAACTTTGAGAGCAGGGAAGCGGCGGCCGCGGTCCCGCCCCTCTGCCTTCCGCCCGCGTCCCGCCGGCCCCGCGCGCCCCACACACCCAGCGCGGGCGCCGCGGGCTGGGGGCGGGCGGGCGGCCCGCGGTCCCGGCCGCTCGCTGGTCCCGCACCCCCGCAACCTGCGGGCGGGACCGAGTCCGCGCGCCCTGCAGGGGCCCCCGCGGGGTCTTCCGGCCGTGCCCTCTCTCCCGGGCCGAGATGCCAACTTGGCACCAGCCCCGTCCACAGATTCCTTGGCCGGGAGGGGAGGATCGGGGCGCCCGGCCGGGCCCTCAGTGTGTGCGGTCGTGGCGTGGGGGAGGCGGTGGGGACAGTCCCCAATCTTGAGTGGTTATGAGGGAAAATTAGAGAACACTTCTGCAACAGTGTTTGTAGGGTCTGCTGCCATCATGCCCCTAAAGTCTTCTCTTCCGTTCTCCTCGCAAGAGCATTTTCTCCGCTGCATCATAAAATGATGGGGCAGAAGTTAAAAAAAAAAAAAAACAACATTGTAATTGACGTTTATGATGAGATTTGTTCACATTTGAAAGCTTGGAGGAAAAATTACTCCCTTTTCAGTGTTCTCAGGGTTATTGTCCTCTAACCCGGACTTTTGTGTTTCCAGTCCGTTCAAAGGCAGTAGTTCAGATTTTTAGAAATGGCAGAATGGTGCAATTTAGGAAAGGACGTAGCGTTATTGCACGTTGCTTTTTGGTAGCCCATCGGAACCTTTACAGCACGTTTTTTAAATTTGGGTTTAAACTCTTCGAATAAGGGCCTTATTTGCGTACCCCTGGCATTTCTATAGGTGCTCACTAGGTGTGGGAAAATCGAGTGAGATTAATTGTTAATTAATTGTTCACACGCATGATTAAGTAAGCAACAATGTAATTAAAAGCGTTCCCGCACCTTGGGCAGAGAAAGCTGTAATTGACGGTGGCAAGCAACTAAACTTGGAGGGGATCTGCTTCAGTGGAAAAAAGAATGCATCGCTGGCCAGGGCAGCCCTGGGGGAAGAGGGCCTTGGAGGGGTGGGAGACTGACTTGGTGACTCCTGGCTGCATTAATTGGCTTGCTGCCTGGGAGTTTTGGACCTAGGCAAATGGGGTGGGTGGTAGCCGAAATTGGCATTCTATTAATAGCACTGCACTTTATAATGCTGTACTGGGGGCATAATATTTGTATATAATATATTCAATATATGGGCTGAAATACATTTGTATTGCTACATGTATCTATTTTTTACTGCAGTTAAGGGAGTATCTGCACTGCCCAGTCTTGATAATACGTTAAAGGACAGAATGAACCAGAATGTCAACACATTTTTAGAGCTGTCTATTAACATTGCGAAGTTGTCAGATAAGCACAATAAATAAGACATAAAACCTATTAAAAGGTCCCTGTGAGACATTTGGCTTTGTGAACTGGCTTTCATGGATTTCAAGAATACAGGAAGCTGTGTTCTTCGAGGTCTGGAGTAAATCACGGTTCCGTTTATTGAGCTGTGCTTTGGTGGTGTTGGGGAAGCACCAAGATATAAAAAGATGTGGTGTCCACTCTGTATATCTCGAAATCAAGAATCTTGGAATCTTGCTAAAACAGAGATTATGACAAGAGTTCCGAGGCATGTGAACAATCCTGATTGCTTAAAATTACTCTAAATATTCCCTTATAAGTTCAGCCTGGGTATATATAATTTAGTTTTCCCACAAACTGTAGCATATTCATTTGAGTTTTCAGAGAAGAGTCAATATAGAAAATTTATTTTAAACCCAGATGATTATACAGACCGGATTCACTGCAACTTCACTTCTAAAAGTCCAGTGCCAGTTCTAGAATCGGATTTATTCACACCTCTGCGTCAGCCACTGTGTGGCTTCTAGTGGGTTCGAGCCCAGTTTTCCTATAGAAAACAGACTAGATAAAATACCCAAACTTCGCCGTTTCTTACAGTTTTAACATACTGATGCTGTTGTGCAGAGACTGCTATCTGCCTACTCAGTAGCCCTTAGTTCTGTCTTTTCCAGACTAAAAAAGCCTTTTAGATAATCAGGAGGCTTACAGAGATAGGGTCTTCACGGAGTATAATTAAGGTTAAATAATGTCATAAGTGTGGGGCCCAAATCCAACAGGACCTGTGTCCTCATCGTCTTTATCCTTATTGGGAGAGGAAGAGGCCCCAGGGATGCATGAAAACATAGAGAAGCCTGCGGGAGGACATGGTGAGAAGACTGCTACCTATGAGCCAAGGAAAGAGGTCTCAACAGAAACCAGCCTTGCTGGCGCCTTGATCTTGGACTTCTAGCTTCCAGAACTAGGAAATTTCTGTTGTTTAAACCACCCCATCTGTGGTTTCTGTTACGGCAGCCCTGACTAATAAGACAGGGAGTGAGGGGACAGGTGGGTGGGTGGGGAATGTGGGGGTAGCGATGCGGTGGGAGTGTGTCCAGTGAGAAAACATTTCCCAGTTTCCCCACTGCAAAGCAAGGATAGCCACTGAGTTATCTATAAAGATTTTGGGGTGGGTCTTTTGATAATAGTGGCTGCCCCAGCTTGGATGTTGGCTTTTTTAAAATTGTATTTTTTTTTTTTTTTTGCCTTTGTTTCATCTTCTTCCCATTGTCTGTAAATCTGATGGCTGGAGCCATGGTAGCCATATTGTGACCATGGGGTGACCTTGAAGACAGAAGCCAGTAGTAAGGATGGTAGAGCAGAAAGGATAACACCACCTGGGTGCCAGGTGGATGTGGAACACCATGCCAGTCCTGGGTCACTTATTTCTGGGCTTGTATTGCATGATTTTAAAAATAAACCGCTGTCTTCTTTAAGCCCCAGTGATTTGGGTTTTCTATTACATGCAGCCAGCCTATCCTAATAGATACATCTGTGAGGAAGCTCATTTGAACCAGTGGTAAAATGAGAAGATACTAACTTTTTCTCATCCCTGTTGCTACTCTATAGGATTCAGGACCGTATTTCTTAGCATCTGCCAAAGTTAGGGATGGGTTTTCATTCTGGTCCAGTGCTTGCTCAGATTCTTTTCACTGCAGTGAGTTAGACATTCTGGGACCCCAAGAGTCAGATCTGATCCCAGGTTTGAGTGTTTGTTTTTTTGATTTTTTTAAAACCCTCCTTTCTTTTTTTTTAAACAATTTTTAAATGTTTTTATTTATTTCTGAGAGAGAGAGAGACAGCTTGAGGAGGGGAGGGTCAGAGAGAGAGGGAGATACAATCTGAAACAGGCTCCAGGCTCTGAGCTAGCTGTCAGCACAGAGCCCGACACGGGTCTTGAACCCATGAACCATGAGATCATGACCTGAGCCGAAGTTGGATGCTCAACCGACTGAGCCACCCAGGCACCCCTCCTTTTTTTTCTTAAACAGATATGACTGATGCAGATTTTACCCATCTGGATGGGTAGTCTGGGCCTCAAGTTGGTACAGCCCCCTTGGTCACAGACTTGACCCAAGGGCGTTTGCCGAGAGCCAGAAGTCAAACTCTTTATTGGGGGCAAATAAGGAGTAGGGGGCAAGAGCATCTGTTTTAGGTGGGATGGCCCTGGTCGGGAGGCCTTGTCACGACGCTTTTGTAAACTTGTTCTGAGGCAAACACTGGGGGCCCAATACTTGAGCAAGTCCTAATAATCTCATTTGGACCACTAAGGGCCAGGGTTTTTTTGTTTGCTTTTCATTAGACACATTATAAATCAGGCATAATTTCTGGGCCTAAAGGGATTATTTGTGGAGAATTTGCACATGTTCTAGGTTTTGCCCCTTTGTAGCATATGGGCAGTCCATCTTTGGGGTTGCTAGATTCTAACTTAAGAACAGTACACAGGAGCTTTAATTCCATCTTTCCAAACACAAAGGAAAAATTCTAGTGCATGTCAGAGGTTCATCAAATCTATTATTGATTGAGAGTCTCCCTTAATTCCATGTTTCAAAGCTCACTTTGTGAAGCCACTCCCAGTGAAACCCGATTCAGTGTAGGCGCTGGTTTGCACTACTAGAAAATGTTAACAGTTCAAAAATAGTATTGAAAGAAAGAACTGTACTCAAAATTTTTGCTCATTTATTCAAAAACTGTTGAGTTATCTACATGTGTCAAGCGCTGGGGATATTGCAGGGAAAAAGGCAGATCTAGTCTAGCCCCGCCCCGTGGAGCTTGCAGTCGCTAGGGGAAGGTGACATTAAACGTTATGTGAAAACAAATCGCACTGTGCTCAGAGCTGTGGCAGAGGAGTTCAGGGTGCTGTGAGATACAGGTCTTTAGCCTGGGGTCTGGAGTAGGGTTCTCAACAGGGGGTGATCTTGCCCCTAGGAGAACACTTGCCAAGGGCTAGAGACTTTTTGGTTATCACAGGGATGGTTTGGCAGGAAGTGCTGCTGGCATCAGAGCCCGTGGTGCTGCTGAGCATCCTGCAGTGCCCGGGACCACCTCCCCCTCCAAAGAATCAAGGGTCTAGTGTCAGTAGTGCCAGGTGCCAGGTTGAGGAACCATGGAGTTGAGGCTCAAGGAAAGCTTCCTGGAGGAGGGGACATCAGAGCTCAGACTGGAAGAGGAAGCAGAAATCAGTTAAATGAAGGATGGGAGCATGCGTGGCA